ACTACCCCTTATCTAGCCTAGGGGGTGTGTCAACTTATACATATATTGTTATGCATAAGTTATAGGCTAGATAGGGTATGTTCTTAGTGGGTACAACCCAAACGCTATATCTTCCCTGTTCTCCCTTCTTCTATTCTTTCTTTCTAGTCTTAACAATTGGCCATGCCGCCGAGAGGGCGGGGGCCGCTGCACTCGCCTCTGACGTTGAAGCTGCCGCCGCCGCTGCTGTTGCCGCTGGCCTGTTGCCGCCGCACGCCAACGCCGCCGTCGCTCTCGTCACTGCCGCGACTGCCGCCATTGCCATCCCTCGGGCCGTGGGTTTTGACCGATTCCGGAGTCATCGCGGCTGCTGCTGGGAATGGGCGGACTAGGTTAGGGGGTGTGGGTGTGTGTGGGCTTGTTACTACCAAGCCTAGGGGGTGTGTTAGATTAAATATTTGCTTATATTATTGGTAGGCTTGGTAGGTGTTACTGAAACCTACTGTAGAGGGTATCCCTCTCTTCTTTTCTCGACCCCTTTTCTCTCCTCAACTTTCCTAGCATAAAACCTCTCGCCATTTCTATGGCTTCCTACCTACCGTTCGTAGCTACCTTAGTTTAACAAGGGGAGATATAGGGTTGGAGTTGTAATCTCTAAGAAAACAAGTCTATCTAGCCTATAACTTCTACATATAACCATATGCATAAGTTGACAAAGCTCACTTACAGAACACTCTAGCACACACCGTACCGTAATCACCCGGATAGACGCCCATCCGTAGGATTAGTCCCATGGGCTCTAACTCGTGCATTGGGACTTAAAGGCATTATTCGATTATAGGCCCCCCTTATTTTTTCAGAACATGTACCCTATAAGCCCCCTCAGAAATTCAGTTGAAACACTGTACAACGGGTGCAGGTAATACCGAGGCAACTCGCTTCGTGCACGTCAGAGGTGGAACTCACGCTCCCTGACACCTCGCCAGGGCTGACTTTATCAGACTATTTACTCTGATTAGTCTGTAATCTCAGACCGGTTTTTTGGCTAAACCTGAATTTCCAGATAAGGCATTTTCCCAATCCTGATCGATTCAGACTTAGACTTTAGGGATCCTGAAAAAATCAGAGTTCACGCTAACCCAATACTGAGTTTTCAGAGTACATCGGGTACGAACCCTGAAACAGATTTCCACGGGGCACGCAAGATCCCTAGAAATTTCGCATGCCATCAGTGATTCCCGCCCGCGTCACGTGGAGAATCCACACTTCCTTGAAAAATCCGCCAAGTCCAATGAATACTCTGCCCACAGTGGGCACTCTGCTACCCAGCGCAGCAAAAATGCTGCCACGCCGAGCCACTAAGGACCACAGATTCTGCTCTGTTGCTCTCTGTGCATGCGCGAACTTCGGGCCCGTGCCCTCTGTGCCAGCCTTGCAGAGGTTGGCCATCATCCCCATTGGCTGCAGTTGCAGCCAACACATCGACTAGGCAGCATGGCGCTGTGTTGTGCATGGACAAGTCCCGAAACCGCGTCACGCCTTTCAAGAAAGGTGCGACACGGGTTTGATGGACCCCTTCTTCTCTAGTTGTTCCTTACCCACCAGCTTCGAACGCACTGCTTCAGGTTTTAGAGGGGAAATCCTTCATGTTCATTTCGACACAGACGTAGTTGTAGTCACTGTCTTCATTTCCTACACGTCGTTTCTCTTCTCGCCATGCCTGAAAAGGATGGCGACGACGATGCTCCAGCTGACGGTGATGAGCCGCGCAGCAGTAAGGTTCCTGTCGTTGCGCCAAGGAGCGCCCTAGATGTCTTGCGGCCCGTTGCCGCATCGGCTCCTCCGCCTTTTGTCGCCACAACCGTTGTAAACGAGACCCCACGCGATGAGCCATCGTTGCCTAGTAGACCTGCCCCCGCTCCGTTCGTTCTCCCACCAGCCATAGCATCTTCTAGCAGAGGACCAGTGGATCCTATTGACTGCGCCACTGCCTCTACCGTTCGTTATAGTGTGCCCTGCGCATCGACTGTCTCTTCGGCGAAGAAACAACGTACGACGAAGTATACACAGCAGCGTATCAACTCAGGTGGCCAGATTCGCCCTCCCTCACCACCGCGCTCACCTACCCCCGTCACCCGCCCTGATGAACCGCCGCCACCGAGGCTAAGTACAGAGGAATTGATCGAGCAGAAGTACCTAGTCGCGGAGGCTAAGTATAAGAATGATTGGCTGCGTTATTTCCCATGGCTTGTACTTACCCGTACTAAAGATGGCTACACCGCTCTTAAGTGCAGCGTTTGCCGAGCCTTCGGCAAAGAAACGACGAAGTATTCAAGGCCAGGCGACGGCGGGCGAGATCTCCAGACACAGACGATGCGCATTCATGAACACTCAACAGTCCACGAAGCGGCAGTTCGCCGGCAGCTCGAGATTCAAAAGAAAATTGAAGACAAGCAGCAGAAGATGACAAGCTTCGCCACCGTCGATGTCCAAGGCCGCCACGTCATCCGTCTTTTGCGGTGCGTGGAATTTCTTTGCAAGAACGACGCTCCTATCGCCATGTTTCCCCGGCTGCTTCGTTTCATGGCAGAGCAAGACACACCAGACATACCTCTCCAGTCGTACGGAGTGTATCTCACCAGGTAAGGCTACCTGGCTTTCGCCGGTTGATGGTTGGATTTTGATATGAACCTTGTAAATTTCAATGCATTTCCAATGCTAATTACCCAGTGTCTCACTTCTGATTATGCCACTGCAGGTACGGGTTCCAGCAGATGGTCAACTGTCTCTCTACGCATCTGCTGGCTACTCAGATGGAGCACATCAAGAGCTCACCTTACCTCGGCATCTCATGCGACGAAAGCACCGACCGCACGCGGGGAAAGCACTTGATCGTCTACATCACATTCATGCGGCTGCGTCGAGTCGTCACCGAATTCCTAGCCCTACTAAACGTTGACAAGTGCGACGCCGCTTCTCTTATGGCCACTCTCTTAGCCCACCTGGAGTCGTCCGGCATCGACCTCCAACGCATCGTTGGCATCAGCACAGACGGCGCGTCGGTGATGGTCGGCCGAGACAACGGGCTTGTGGCGCGACTGCGAGACATCATCCCGCACCTTTTTTCCTCCCACTGCATCGCCCACAGGTTTGTTAAAGTATTCCTTGCTGTCTGTTTATGCTTCTTATGTTTCTGTGTGCTAACCACTACCCATGTTGGTACATGCAGAGAAGCACTTGCTGTGAAGGATGCTGCCGCTTCATGTCCAGACCTCGACATGGTCGACAAAGTCACTCGCACCCTTGCGGACCTTCTCGGCCGGTCGAGCGTATGGAGCAGTCGTTTCAAGCATCTGCAGCGGGCGATTCACAGCACCAACCTTGAGGTTCAAGGCATCCATCAAGTTCGATGGTTGTCCAGGGGAGAGGCAATCCGACGCCTGTGTAAAGTGTTGGGTGCTGCGATTGTTCTGCTGTATGAGTATGAGCATCCCCTGTATGAGGTTGTGATTTCGTATAAGTTTCAGTTTTGCCTCTTCTACCTGGCCGACATGCTGGCACTCATGAACGACCTCAACCTCAAGTTTCAGAAGCGAGAGGTAAGATGCTCATGTTTGCAAGCATGGTGTTCTCCTCTGGTGCAAGTACTCATGTCTTTCACTCCTCTGTGTCCCCCCCCCCTCACACCGCAGGTCGATGTCACAGAGGTGGCAACGGACATCGACGCGACACTGGGGGATCTGCGGCACCGCTATGTCGACTTCGGGGAGATTTTCGGTGTCGGCGCCGAAAACACCTGGCTCTCGGCGTTCCTCGCGGTGTACGGGCGCGGCGGAACGAAGTGGGTGAAGGTGCGCGGTATCGACTTGGAGGGGAACCCCGTCACCCATACGTACAAGATGCACGAGCGGCACCTCGACAAGCTCCAGTACGGGAGCAGCTACAAGGACTGCGTGCAGCTGTGCCAGAAGCACGCCAAGGATACCATGACCAACGTACAAGAGCGGATGCTGGATCTGCGCAAGATGTCGCCGACGAAGCTCTGGGTGGCGGCGAAGTGGCCGAGACAACGGGCGCAGCGCGAGAAGAAGACGAGAGAGTATCTGCTTGGATGCAGCGGCATCTTCGAGCACAAGCTTCCAGGCTTCGACGTGAAGGCAGCGGAGAGGGAGCTCGCAACTTGGGCGCCGATCATGCAGAATCATCATGAGGTGGAGAGTTTCCACCAAGGCCTGGCAAACTACCTCACGAAGACGGACTCGAGCAGGCAAGTCCAACCATATTGTCGTTTCTGAATCACCACCTTCCATTCTACTTGCCAAGTGTGCACAACATCGCCGCCCTTGCCAACCGCATCTTTTTGTTATCCGCCTTCACCGTATGCATTTCCTACTGCCTTTCTTCCGCCTCTGTTTTTGTGCCCCGTGTCAGGCGCTGGCCCAATCTGATGCGCCTCTGGCAGGCCTGCGCCGTGCTGCCTTTGTCAACTGTCGAATGTGAGAGGGGCTTCTCTCGGCAGAATGTGATTAAGTCCTGGGTCCGTGGCTCACTCTGCAACGCGCGCCTCTCCGAGTTGATGGCCATCTCGCTGCTGCAGTATGACATCAATTGGACCGAAGCCCTAGCGACCTGGCGAGAGAAGCTGAGACGGCCAGCACGATCTGTTGTCTTCGCAAGAGCGGAACGAAAACGCAAGGGGAAGGCCCTAGAGGGTGAGGTGGCGGGGGACACAACGGATGGACAGGGGGAGGTGCCAGAGTACGCGGGGGAGGGGTGGGCTGAGGAGGATGGGGGTGATGATGAGAATGATGCGGCTCCAACATTAGGCGACGACCCTTTCCTGTCCGACGATGAGGGGGGTGATGATGAGATTACTGTAGATGTGCCGGAGTTCTAGATGCCTGTTAGCTAGTGGTGATTGCTTGGTTTGGTAGTAGTAGTTGTAGATAGGCTCCTGTCCAATGTAGCAAAATGTAATACACAAGAATAGTTTTTCTTAATAACATAAAATGTAACCCTGAGTACATTTGCGCGATCCTGAGAATTTCAGAGTTGCACATCTCTGGACTCTGACATTTCAGAGTCCCTAAATTCTGTCTGAAGGCCATTCAGACTTTTTTTTTTTTGGGGGGGGTCAGCTCAGAGTGCCTTTTTTTGAAACGTCAGCCCTGCACCTCGCGCCAGCACGATTCGTATCAGAAAAGGAAGTTTCCAGCCTGGCACCTCGTTGACTGGACTTCCAACGCGATTGACTTTTAATCCTCGCCTAAAATTAGTCCCATTGCACACGACAAACCAGCAGCTACATGTCGATGTCAAACTTTAATTTTCCATATAATCCCTTTAAAACGCCCATGGGCTTATATTTTTTATTCAATTAAACGCCCCCCCACGTTTTCAAACCAGTCTAGTAAACGCCCCTAGGGGCGTCTATCCAGGTGATTACGATATGACAGCTTGTTTGTGATGTGACCACAGACAACGAAGCTCAGACGACACCTCAAGGCTGCAATTGCAACGTAACTGGTGCAAGTTTGGAGGTACGAGAACGCCACCAGTGCAGAAATGGTCAGAGAAACTGACATCACCATTCGTCCCTCCCTCCGCCTCCCATCCCCACAACTCCTCCTATCCCTCCCTTCATGCTTCAAAGGTCCCAGCCCAAACTGCGAGTCTGTGGATCAGGATACAGCCTCACATGCCTTCCTCCTTCACCATCATCCCTCCCATCCCCCCACCAGCACTTCCCCCCCCAGCCTCTGCTATCCGGCCAGCCCCCACCACGAGTCTAAAAAATGCGTCACTGGTGGCTGAAGGCATTTTATCCTCACATCCCTTCTTGCTTCACCATTGTTCCTCCCATCCCACCTCCCATCCCACCTCCCATCCCACCTCCCATCCCACCTCCCATCCCACCTCCCATCCCTCCACCAGTGGTACTTCCCCCCCCAGCCTCTGCTATCCAGCCAGCTCCCACCATGAGTCTGAAGATGGCGTCAGTGGTGGCTGGGGGCAGTCTGAAGAGTTTATGCACAGCTGCCCGTGAAATAGAGCCTCCTGAGGTGGCAGCCTGCTGGAGGATAACCTGTTGGGGTTGGTGGGAGGGAGGCAAAGAAGGGGAGGAGCGGCACTTGGAGAGGGTAGCTGGTGGCAGGTGGAAGAGACGGTTCACGGCTGAACCCCTGGGCTTCGGGTGGTGGAAGGTGTTGGGAAAACGTTCCAAGGTCGTGATTCGAGTTAGAGGCACTTTGGCATCTGGATAGATATGGTGCATGCACCCCTTAATGCAGTTGTCACCGCGTGAAGGGGCTCCAAAGGCCGAAGTCTAGACAATTTTTCCGGAAAAACCCGTTAGTCCTCTACCCTGTGATGTCAGCGCAAGTGCAAGCTCCAGTATCATTGTGCTGGCAAGGACATCTAGGGAAAGGGGACTATCAGCTGTGGCCGGAAAAATAGTTCGATCTTCAGCCTCAAGAGCACCCTCAAGTGGCGATGACTGCGTTAAAGGGTGTATGCACCAGTTAGTGTGTGAGGCACTTTGACATCACAATGGCTGGCTGTCTCGATCCCCTCAACCACTAGAACCCCACCTGCTTGGCCCGGAGGTAATGTCCTGGCAGCAGTCGCATGTGTGTGCAGAGTTCTAGCTCCTGAGAGGACAATCAAGCAGGGAGGAATCTTGCTCTTGAGTTCACTCAAACGCAGCAGTCACATATGTGAGCAGCGTCTGCACTCCTGAGAGGACAATCAAGCAGAGGAATCTCGTGGCAGAACTGGCATGACACGTCATGGGATGAGGACACACCCTCTGGATATGCGGTCAGTTGGTTTCTGAGAATTATGAAAAACCAACTGGTATGGCCAAGAGCAGTGATAGGCACTGTGGCACAGAGGCATGCTGGCAACATGGAAAAGAGACTAGAAACATGTAGATGGTTGGCAACTTGGCAGATGACCATCCAAATGATCGCACCTTAGCTGATAGCAGGTCGCATCCAGGGTGAGAGGATATGTCAAGAGCGGCTGAGGAGGGGCCCCCTGCTGGGGATGATGTGCTGATGGCTGGGAGATGGAGGAACGAAGACCCAAGTCACATTAGAACAGCGTGACGTTGTGCGATGTCAGAAGCAGCGGCAGCGGCAGCGGCAGCAGCAGGGATTGTCTGCAATTTGATACATGTGTAGTGTAGGTGCTAGCTAGCTTTCACACGCCTGTGGTAAAGGGTGAATAACCACACCTGTCGCAGAGGGGGGCAGGCATGCGGCGGCGGCGGCAGCAGCAGCAGCAGCGGCAGCAGAATGGGTGTCGTGGTGTGCTACGAGTTATGCGCTACCCAGCTATAACACACCTGTGGCAGAAGGCGGAAGGCACGCGATGGCAGCAGCAGCAGCAGCGGGGTTGTCCTTGTAATGAGCCTGGATGAACCGACGGCCTTCAGCTAGAGACTTGCACCCCGCTGCTCTCAGCTCCTGCAGGAATGGGAGGGCAGAAAGGTAGTGAGCATCTTAATCAGCAGCAGCAGCCGCTGCTCTCAGCTCCTGCAGGAATGGGAGGGCAGAAAGGGAGTGAGCATCTTAAGCAGTAGCAGCAGCCGCTGCTCTCAGCTCCTGCAGGAATGGGAGGGCAGAAAGGGAGTGAGCATCTTAAGCAGCAGCAGCAGCCGCTGCTCTCAGCTCCTGCAGGAATGGGAGTGAATAGGGGGGAACGCTTTTGAGTCGGCTTTTGAGTGAAAGCAGCTCCTGCAGGGGTGGGAGCAAATACCGGGGAACGCTTTTGATTCGGCTTCTGAGTCGGCTTTTGAGTCGACTTAAAGCAGCTCCTGCAGAAATGGGAAAGAATAGGAGGAAGCAGGGTGAGAGACCATCCGACACATCAGTATCAACAGCAAAAGCTGCAGCACCACCAGCAGCAGCGGCGGCGGAGGCGGCAGCAGCGGAGGCAGCAGCAGCAGCAGAAAAATCAGCAGAAGAAGCAGCAGCTGCTGCTCAGGCTGCCTCTCAGCCTCCGTGCCTGTGCAAGGCTCTGCCGGGCTCTGTGCAGCCCAGGCTCTGTGCAGCCCGGGCTCTGTGGCTGCGCTAAAGTCTCTAAAAACTATAAACTTCTCAGTTTTTAGGCAACTCAGAAGTCGCCTCCGCGCCAGGCACGCCAGGCGCTGCTCTGCTCTGTGCAACCCCTCGCATTCCTACAGAGGGACCATCAGCCATCCCAGAGGAGGGCCACTCTCACCTGCAGCGCGGCCACTCTGTCTCTCAGCTTCTGCACCACCAACCCCTCGTGCTCCTCCGGGCTCCAACCAAGTGTCAGGTGCCACGTCGACCAAACGAAAAGCCCTCAAGGGTACAGCACCATCGCACAGGCAGCACGGCTACTCTGTCCCTCAGCCTCTCTGCCTGAGTGAGGTTCTGAACTCTGAATTGTGAGGTTCTGAATCCCCTTGTGACCCTCTGACTCAATAACCCAATACCAAGGCCACTCCCACCAGCAGCACAGCTTCCCTGTCCCTCAGCCTCTGTGCCTGAGTGAGGTTCTGAGCTCTCTATCCCCTTGGGGTCCTCTCACTCAGAAACCCAAAGCACGGCTGAACTCGCCTGCAGCACGGCCACTCTGTCTCTCAGATACTGCACCTGGGTGAGGCTAGGCTACGCACCAACCGTTCGTGCTCCTCCCCCTCCGCCCCTCAAAGCACGAGGAGAGGGAGTCAAAACTCACCTGCAGCACAGCCACTCTGTCTCTCACCCTCTGCGCTTGAGTAAGGCTCTGCACCAACCCCTTGTGATCCTGGGGGCTCAAGAATCACGCAATCACCCGACAGCGAAGGCTTTGAGGCGCCTCAAGACACAGGGAGGGAATGAGGAGGCCAGACTCACCTGCAGCACTGCTACTCTGTCTCGCAGCCTCTGTGCCTGAGTGAGGCTCTGCACCAGCCCCTCGTGCTCCTCGGGGGACTAAGAAACCGCGCACACACCTGACAGCAAGGCTGTGGGGCGCCTAAAAGCACGAGGAGAGGGGGGATAGATAGGCTCACCTGCAGCACCACCATTTGGTCTCGCAGCCTCTGCGCCTGAGTGAGGCTCTGCACCAGCCCCTCGTGCTCCTCGGGGGCCACCAACCCCTCGAGACAGACTCACCTGCAGCACAGCCACTCTGTCTCTGAGCTTCTGCGCCTGGGTCAAACTCTGCACCAACCCCTCGTGCTCCTCAGGGCTCAAGAACCGTGCAAACACCCGGCACCGCAGAAACATCTCCCGCTCCTCCCGCGACCGCCTCCTCTCCCCTCCGCCTCCGCGCTTCCCTCCCCTCTCCCCCTTCTCTCCCCCCATCCCTCCCTCGGTTCCGCCTTGTCTGTCCGCGCCCCCTTCTTTCGTGCTTTCATCCGTCCTCTCCCTGCTGTTGGCGTTGCTCGATTCTGGCCGTATCGTTCCGTCCACTCTCCGCGGGTCCAGGAGCCCACGCTCCAATATGAACGCCTTGCGGCGAGACCGTTCCTCAAGCCTGGAGGCACAAGGAACGAAGATAACAGTGCGATGGTGACTTAGGTCTAGCCCTATGCTTCTGTCCACTCTCCTCGGGTCCAGCAGCCCACGCTCCAATATGAACGCCTTGCGGCGAGACCGTTCCTCAAGCCTGGAGGTATATGGGGCAAAAAGCCAAAGTGACACGAGTGGTTGAGATGACTTTTGATTCGACTCAAAAGTCAGCTCGTTCCTCAAGCCTGGAGGTATAAGGGGCAAAAAGCCAAAATGGCGTGTAGTTGAGATCCGGTTCAGCCTCATCATTCCATCAAGCCTTTTGGCTAGAAGGCCCCTGAAGCCTGCATGTGGTGTGGTCCATCCAACGAGAGTGTGGTCCTCACTCTCCTCGGGTCCTCACTCTCCTCGGGACCTCACTCTCCTCGGGTCCTCACTCTCCTCGGGTCCTCACTCTCCTCGGGACCTCACTCTCCTCGGGTCCTCACTCTCCTCGGGTCCTCACTCTCCTCGGGTCCTCACTCTCCTCGGGTCCTCACTCTCCTCGGGTCCTCACTCTCCTCGGGTCCTCACTCTCCTCGGGTCCTCACTCTCCTCGGGTCCTCACTCTCCTCGGGTCCTCACTCTCCTCGGGTCCTCACTCTCCTCGGGTCCTCACTCTCCTCGGGTCCTCACTCTCCTCGGGTCCTCACTCTCCTCGGGTCCTCACTCTCCTCGGGTCCTCACTCTCCTCGGGTCCTCACTCTCCTCGGGTCCTCACTCTCCTCGGGTCCTCACTCTCCTCGGGCCACACTCGAATCCAAGTCCTTCAACTTCATCTCTGCTACGGGGGGCTCCAACTAGCGCACGTACGCATGAGCAAAATGCCCAGCAGCCCGGCCTGGCCCTGGTTGGTCCGGCCCTGATTTTGCCGGGCTCGGGCCACCCATCCGCGAAACTCGGCCAGACCTTCACTGGCCCGGCCTGGCCCGGTCCGCCCCCGGCCCGCACTGGCCCGCCCCCGGCCTGGTTTTTGCCCCAGGCCTGGCCCGGCCCACCCCCGGGCCAAGGCCGGCCCGACCCCTAAACCCGGGCATGGGCCAGGAAGCTCCCAAGGTCGGCCCAACCTCGGCCCGGCCCGGCGCGGCCCGGCCCGAGGTCCGGCGGTCTGACCAGAAACGGGCCGGGCCAATGCTCATGCCTAAGTGCACGCATAGTGACCGCGATAATAACCTGGCCACACACACCTGAAGTGGAGCAAGCACAGCATCCTGATCCTCCACTGCTCTGCTTGTGCCCACCGAAATAAGAATCCTTAAACTCCCATTCTGCCAGGGAAGCCTCCAACTACCACACAGTATTGTGCATAATTTTGGTACTGTGCATAATTAGTTGTACCTGGAGTAGTAGATGTGCAGCATCTTGATCTTTAGTTGTCTATCCACACTCGAGTCCGAGTCTTTGAACTCCAGCTCTGCGAGTAGGGCCTCTGCCTCACACACACATGTATGTACGGTACACAATATCACCCAGCACCCCCCAACCGTGCACACCTGGAGTAGTAGATGTGCAGCATCTTGATCTTCAGCTGCCGGTCCACACTCGAGTCCGAGTCTTTGAACTCCAGCTCTGCCAGGGGAGCCTCCGCCTCGTTGTCGTATTCCGGGTCAAACTCGTTGCGCTTTGCGTTGTAACCGCTGGTTATGGGAGCTGCGCTTGTGTCGTCGGCTTTGCTGCCGGGCTCTGGCCTGTTGTAAAGGGAGACAGGGAGGAAAGAGTCACAGAGAGCGGGGCCTCTGCCTCGTTGTCATACTCTGGGTCAAACTCGTTGCGCTTAGCGCTGTAACCGCTGGTTATGGGAGCAGCACTTCTGTCGTGTGCCTTGCTGGCGGGCTCTGGCCTGTTGTGAGGGGAGGCAGGGAGGAAAGAGCCACAGAGAGAGAGAGAGGGGCCTCTGCCTCGTTGTCGCACTCCAGGTCAAACTTGTTGCGCTTTGCGTTGTAACCGCTTGTTTTGTAACCGCTTGTAACCGCTTGTATTGTAACCGCTTGTTATTGGTGCAGGGGAATCCTCCGCTTTGATTCCTGGCTCGAACCAGGAATGCTGGTCACCACTGGAATGCTGATCTGTGCTGCCTCTTGCAGCCTTGCTTCAGCCTCTGCTTCCTCTCGTGCTTTGCTATAAGGCTTAAAACCCTTCTATCTATGCAGTCGACTGAAAGGCACTCACTTGACCTCTGGAATTCTGATCTCGTGCTCTATCTATGCAGTCTACTTTTGAGGCGCCTAAAAAGTACTCTCCCTCTATGCAGTCTACTTTTGAGGTGCCTAAAAAGTACTCTCCCTCTATACAGTCTAACTGAAGGCATTCAATTCACCACTGGGATGCTGATCGGTGCTGCCCCTTGCGCCTTTGCTGCAGTCTCTGCTGCCCGTCGTGCATTGTATTGAGGCGTAATACTCTCTATATATGCACTCGACTGAAAACGGCACTCACTTGACCATGGGAATGCTGATCTGTGCTGCCTCCTGCGCCCTTGCTGCAGTCTCTGCTGCCTCCCCTTCCTCCATTGCCGCCTTGGCTGCTTCCGTGTCCACTTGGGTGCGCAGGCAAGCCAGGTCCTGGGGAGAGGCACGCGCAAAGGAGGGGAAAAGGTGGGAAATGAGGCAGAAGTCAAGCCAGCAGTAAAGCTTGGCTCCTTTCGTGGGAGCTTGTGTTGCGTGCACAAATGAGATAGGTCCTCGAGAAAGGCAGGCACACGGGAGGGACACGGGAGGCACACGGGAGGCACACGGGAGGCACACGGGAGGCACACGGGAGGCACACGGGAGGCACACGGGAGGCACACGGGAGGCACACGGGAGGCACACGGGAGGCACACGGGAGGCACACGGGAGGCACACGGGAGGCACACGGGAGGCACACGGGAGGCACACGGGAGGCACACGGGAGGCACACGGGAGGCACACGGGAGGCACACGGGAGGCACACGGGAGGCACACGGGAGGCACACGGGAGGCACACGGGAGGCACACGGGAGGCACACGGGAGGCACACGGGAGGCACACGGGAGGCACACGGGAGGCACACGGGAGGCACACGGGAGGCACACGGGAGGCACACGGGAGGCACACGGGAGGCACACGGGAGGCACACGGGAGGCACACGGGAGGCACACGGGAGGCACACGGGAGGCACACGGGAGGCACACGGGAGGCACACGGGAGGCACACGGGAGGCACACGGGAGGCACACGGGAGGCACACGGGAGGCACACGGGAGGCACACGGGAGGGAATGTGGGGGGAACAGGATGGTCAAAGTCAGCCAAAAGCCTCTGCGGCCTCCTCCACTTCCAGTGCCGCCTTGGCTGCTTTCCTGTGCGTTTGCGTGCGCAGGCAAGCCAGGTCCTAGCAGTGAGCAAAGCATGGACGGGCAAGCTGTGCTGTGTTCACATCTCACCATGGGCAGAGCAGGCAGAGAGTGCACTAAGAGGCAACGCGTTAACAAGCTGGTATTGGGATACGAACTGGAACAGGGCCGCAGGGTGACAGCTGGCATTTGTAGAGCTAGTAGTGGTCATGGCACTGGCCCTTGCTCTATCTGGACCCCACATGCTGGCATGGTGATATGGTGAACATACAGATGCACTGACATGGTGGTATGGTATGGTATGGTATGGTGACAGAGTATACTGACAGGAAGAGGGCTGCATGGTGACAGCAGGTAGTCGTAGAGGTAGTGGTCGTGGCACTGGGCCTTGCTCTTTGACCCCACATGCTCCGCCACCTCCGCCCAGTTGCCCATCCCGTACATCTCAAGGGCCTGAAGTGACGAAGGGCGAGAAGGAGAGGGGGGGGAACTGAGAGATGGAGAACAATGCTGTGGAGAGATGAGAAGCAGCAGTTGCTCATCAGTGCTGTTAGACACCACCACGCGCTCAGCCACCTTCGCCCAATTGTTCATGCCGTATATCTCAACGTGGGAAAGGTAGACAGAGGAAGGGTGCGGCGTGGTGGTTACCTCCATCTGAAAACCCGTAAGTTTTTTGGTACAGAAAGGCACACGAACCCACCTGTGTGAATCTGAGACCACCTCTAGCAGTAGTGAAGTTCAAAGGGGCCTTACTATCTAGGTGCGTTCTGATGAGTGGGTTCTGGAGCGTTTCTATACACACAAACTTGCGGTTTTTCATATGGAAGTAACCACGATGCCACGCCCTTCCTCTGTCTGCCTTACCCACTTTCTCTCCCCACCCCATGTGCTCAGCTACCTCCACCAACTTGCGGCGCACGCCAAGCATCACAACGGCCTGCAGGAGTGAGGGTGGAGGTTGGAGGTGGGGGTTGGGGGTGGGGGTTGGGGGTGGGGGGGGGGGGGGAGGGGAAATAAGGGGTACCTTTCCTCATGCTATGCTACCTCGGCCTAGTGGCCCATGCCGTACATCTCACGGCCCAGAGAATAGAGAGGGGAGAAAGGGGCAACGACAGACGGAGGCAGCAGCATGGTGTGATGGTCACATCTCCACTTGCCCTACTATCTCCTCCGCCCATTTGCCCATGCCGTCCATCTCAAAAGCATTGTGTTTGAACAGAGAAGGTCCACCTTTTCTTGGTTAATAAGTGGCCTAACTACACCTGTGCATCCAACGCACCTCCAGCAGCAGCATCTCTTCATCCGCACTCCAGTCTTCATGAATGAGCGGGAAGTTCATCGTGTCCTGATGGGTTGGGCAACGTCGAGTCAACGCAGGGAAAGTTTGTAAACTGTGACTTTTCATCTGCACTCCAGTCCTCGTGAATGAGAGGGAAGTTCATCATGACCTGGGGAAACAGAAGGGAGGCAATGGTGGAAGGTGTCAGAAACTGAGAACTTGATTGATAGAATGAGCAAGAGCATACATCCTTAAGTACCGAGCATCGGAGAGGATGAGAAGGGATTAGGGAGAATCGGAGGGAATCCTCCCAAATCGTGGCGATTTGGGATGGATTGGGTTGGGATAGGTTGGGGATGAAAACATAGCTACACCCAACCTAACAAATATGCGTATCCCTAAAACCAACAAATTGCCAACACACCAAGTTGTGCCAACCGAATTGCAGCCTATCTCTAACAGAAGGCTCGGACCGTTTGCAGACAGCCGCAGCAGAGATGTACCGGCACACTAGAGTGCTGCTGCTGCTGCTTGTACCGGAATGGAAACACTCTGATATGGACGAGCAGTAGTTGCAGTGGTACACCCCCTTCTGCATCCCCCCCCCCTCCCACCCCTCCCCCTCCCCCTCCCCTCCCACTCACCGTCACGTGGTATGAGTGGCTGGACTTGTGTGGGTGCACAGTAAAACCAACCGCGAGAAGCAATCCACGCACAAAAATCTAGTCCACACACGACGCGCATTTCATCCGCACTTCCCCCATCACATCCCTGTGTGCTGCAACCCCCCTGCACCTCCGCTGAACACCTTATGCTCACTCTTCATTCCCATCTCTGACTCTGTCTCACCATCACATGATTTGTGATATAAGGTTGGTTTTGAGATGTCTCAAAACCAACCTTACGTCACATGATATGGGGGTTGGTTGGACTTGTGCGGGTGCACGGAAGACCCCACCGAGAACCACTCGACACAAATCAAAAGTCCACACACGATGCACATTTCACCCGCACCTCCCCTGCCACATCCCTTTGTGCAACCATCCTCACCACATTCCCCTCTCTCTAGTTTTGAGGTGCCTCAAAACCACATTTCACCCGCACCTCCCCTGCCACACCCCTTTTTACAACCCTCCTCACTCCATTCCCCTCCTCAAGCTGTCCGCGTATTAATGGGCAAGCAAAGTACATCCGGATGGTTGCATTTGTGTGCATATTGCATCGCCTTACCGTGACGTGGTAGGGGTGGTTGGACTTATGTGGGTGCACAGCCGCCTCCACCGAGGAGCACTCAACGCACAAATCAAAGTCCACACACGACGCGCATTTCACCCGCACCTCCCTCTTCACATCCCTGTGTGCACACCCCTGCACCTCCCCTATACACCGAATGGGCACCCCTCATTCCCCATGTCTCACCATCACATGGTATGGGTGGTTGGACTTGTGGGGGTGCACGGCAGCCCCCACCGAGAAGCACTCCACACACAAGTCAAAGTCCACGCATGAAGCGCATTTCACCCGCACCTCCCCTGTCACATCCCTGTGGCAGTAGTTGCAGTGGTACACCCCCTTCCGCACCCCCCCTCCTCCTCCCCCTCCCCCTCCCCCTGCTACTGCGCCCGCCCCTTCTCCCCCTACCCCTGTGCCTCCCCCGGTGTTCCCCCCCCCCACGGCGTCTTGCCAACTTGTGGTGGCATAACGGCGACGCTTGGGCCTGGAATAAGAGGGGAGGGAGGGGGGGAAGGGGGGGAGAGGGGGGAAGAGATGGGAGGTGGGAGGTGGGAGGTGGGAGGTGAGAGGTGGGAGGTGGGGAGGGGAGGGAGTGGGGGGGAGAAAGGAAGAGTTGAAGGGGATGGGACGCGAATGATAAATTGCGGATGAGAGTGAGGGAGCAGGATGAATGGATGGCACAAGGAGGCCTGATGCATGGGATTACGCCTCTGATCTGATCTTTGTGCAAACATCCTCTAGTAGGGGATGTAGTGGTACACTGAAAGTGTCATGATCACACACGCGTAGGGGCACACCCGATAATAGCACACTGTACCTCACCTCACCAATCGGTCGCCCGATGTACCGATTACATCTAACAGCACACCCTGTAGTAGCACACGACACTGCTTATGCCCTGTTACCACACCCATAAGAAGCACACGCATTAACAGTGTGGTCCTAATTCCCCCTTCCCCCCCCATGGTAACTGCTAATCCCCTATTAAAGCAAGGATCTCAAGAAGCAGAAAACCAAACCCAAAGGTTTTGGTTTCGGGGGGTCGCAAAAATTGCGAGGTGTAGTAAGGGGTGTTGGGGGGCCGGTGTTACTGTTTCGCTCATTTCGCCAACCCGATTCCAAACCTTTTGGATTTGGTTTCGTGCTTCTTGAGATCCTCGCTTTAAGACACCCGTTATTAGCACCGGTTAGTATCACCCATTAGTAGCGCAAGCCACATGCTATACAGCCCACCTGGAGCCGCCACTGGGGGCGTGGTCCTCCTCGCCAGCTCCCCTCTCGTTACTGTCTATTCCCGAGTAACCCATCCGTTAATAACACCCTTTAATAGCACCCTTTAATAGCACCCATTAATAGCACCCTTGAATAACACCCATTAATAGCACCCGTTAATAGCACCCATTAATAGCACCCGTTAATTACACCCATAAGTAGCACCCGTTGGTGGCATTATCTTAATGTACAGCTCACCTGGCCGCCACTGGGAGCGTGGTTCTCCTCCCCATCTCTCCTCTCCTCACTTGTTATCCCCTATAAACACACCCGCTAGTAGCACCCGTTAGTAGCACCCGCTAGTAGCACCCGTTAGTAACACCCGTTATTAGCACCTGCTAGTAGCACCCGTTAGTAACACCCGTTATTAGCACCCGTTAGTAGCACCCGTTATTAGCACCCATTAGTAGCACTAGAAACGTGAGATTCAGCTCACCTGGAGCCGCCACTGGGGGCGTGGTCCTCCTCCCCAGCTCCCCGCGACCGACCCATTTGGAGGCAAGTCTCAGACTAGGAGGCGTCTCAGCAGCCTCCTCCCAGCCTTCGTTTAAAGTCGCGTCAGAAGCCTTTTCCAAGGAATGCCGCATCAGTCACGGACTCGGTCTCGAGAATCAGGGGCACCAACCCAATCGCAGACTCGGCCGTGTTTCACGGGGTGAAAGCGAACCCTGGAACTAAGTCGCACTAATGACAAGCGACTGAGTTGTACTTCGGTCACTAAGTTGCACCCTGGGCCCTGGTGACTTATGCGACTCTCGAGTCGACCTGACAGCAACAAAGTGGAACTAAGTCGGTCTTTGCAACATCGCACCGCACCCTACTAGGGGAACTAATAGTCGCGCCTACCAATAGCAGCGAGGGCGGCGAAACGACAGGCTGGAAATGGTAACCACCTGGTTACCAGTTGGTTACGATAAGCACGATATGTCGCAAAAGGAACGAGAACTGAGCAGTTAGCGAGCACTTGGCGGAGAGCGACAAAGGCGGACGCTTGCTTCGCGTTCCGCGGCGCGATACAGGCTCGTGCTTATAACGGGCGCTTAGCGGATGCTTCACAGCGACGCCAAGAGACTTAGCGCGACGCGAGACGCACGTGCACGACGGACACGAGCAACGGCGGGGAAGGTCGGCGTACGGATAAAAGCGGCTCGCGCTAGGGAAAGATGCGGTAAGGTTTGGCGGTTTTGGCGGGAAAGAAATCTGGAGAGTGCGAATATTGGCAGATTCGCTACTAGATCTTCGAACACGAACCCCGCATAAAAATATATTTCGAACATATGCTTCCAGCGAAAGCATCTGAATTCTAGAGGATAGACGAAATCATGGTATGGATATAATCCCACAATTTTGCTGATCCTGTACGATACTTCCTTCAAAAATCAGGGTCGAATTTGTCAAGCCTGTTATTGCTTCGGCATTTGGACAAAACCGGGTTAAGGCAACATTGTTAGGCATTTCCTCTAGCAGGTACAATTTCTTTGTCATGCCATCATCCCTTGTAGCCTTAGGGCAGCGAGGAGCATCTCATTCCACGTATCCGGCACCCCAGGCACACAGAAGTGACTGCAGTCTTCCCTCACCTCCCTCTTGGTATCAGAGTAACCACTCCCAGTGTCCCCTCCTGCCCTATTCTCTGTAAGCAGTTCAGTAGGGAGGGAAGCGCCAATATGGGCATCAGCACGAGCATCAGTGACCCCTCCTGCTCGTAGCAGCACAACCCTGTTCCCCCTCCCTATCTCCCTCTCAACCACCCCCTCTATCTGCCCCACACTTGACTGCACCCACTCTTTCTTCCTCTCCCTCCTCTCCCTCTCTTGTCGCCACCGCCACCGCTGCCACCGCTGCTGATGCGCCTGCTCCTCGCCCCCCTCCTCCAACCACTCCCTAGGTCTCGAAAACTCACTGCACCGCCCTGATTCTAGACATGTGGAGTCGTCGGGCGGACATAGCGAGCTGCTGTTGTCCTGGGCTGCCCGAAAATAATGTTCTCGGGGAAGCCCAAGGAAAAAAGTCGGGATGGATTCGGCGGTGGGTTGGGTGGAGAGGAAGTGGTGGAGCATTTGAAGGGTCTTGGTGAATGCTGACACGGGGTCAAGAAACTCATTCGTGTCAAGCAGATCAGGTGAAAGCACACTAGCCTGGTCCAGTAAATCATCCTCCTTGTTAGCATCCTCTTTATTAGCATCCTCCTTGTTCTCTCTACCAGCATCAGCTTGAAGTAGGGTTTCCTCCTCTGGCAGTTCATCCGCTTTCACAGCTGCAAGGCTATATTCTTCAAACATGCTATCTTGGTCAAGCGATGCATTCGCTCCCCGTGTAGCCTCGCCAAACACACTGTCACCATCATTCAACACAAGGACACTGCCCCGCTGCTCCTCCTGCTCCCACAGTCCATCCTTTTTCGCAGCCGCAGTGCCTTCCTCCTCAAAACTGCCATCTTGAGTAAGTGACGCATTGGCTGCACGGATAGCCTCGCCAAAGGCACCGTCACTATCATTCGCCACAAGGTCACTACCCCAGTCCTGCTCCTTCTGCTCCTCCTCCCCCAAACCAACCTCTTTCACACCTGCAGTGCCATCCTCCTCAGAAATCCCATCCTGGGTGAGCGACGCATTGGCTGCACCAATAGCCTCACCAAAGACGCCATCATCATTCGCCACAAGGCCACTGCCCTGCTCCTCCTCCTCCTGCCCCTCCTCGCTTCTCAACTCACCACCCCGTAACATAGACTCACCCACCAACTCACCGACCGACTCACCCACCAACTCACCCACAAGAAGGCCACCGTTACCCTCACCCTCACCATCCATGCTCTCACGAGCCTTCACACCACCTGGATCTGGAGGCGATTCCAAACGCCTCAGAGTCTGAGGCGCCTGTGAATGGAACGAGGCACCGTCAACCTCTTCTTTCAGCATGCTCTCCGTGTCTTCAGCCACAACCACTGGCCCTTCGCCACGGCTCAGCAGCCGTCGCCACATCCACTTGCCCCTCCTCCCACTTCTCCCTCTCCTCTTCCCCCCCTTGCCGCTGCCCCTGCTGCCCCTACGGGCAATGCTAATAGGATTGATGCTAAAACTATCTGTGTTCCAGATACTGCCGCCACGGACACTGCTGTTACTAAACCTGCCATTAGTAATCCCATTGTTGCTGGTGCTGTCACCGTTGCCTGACACGTGAGGGCTTCTGTCTTCGTTGCTCCTGCTGCTGCTCCTGCTGCTGCTGCTGCTGCTGCTGCTGCTGCTGCTGCTGCTGCTGCTGCTGCTGCTGCTGCTGCTGCTGCTGCTGCTGCTGCTGAATTGGGTCTGCAAGTCACCATCGGTCAGCGAGTGAGACGCTCTAATATTGCTCTGAGATTCAGTAATGTTGCTGCCCATGCCGCTGCTTGCCGTACCGTCAGCTGTCACCCCATCGCTCTCTACACTGCCACTCCCGATACTGTCACTCTGTAGAATGTCATCGTCGCCAAAATCACCCAATCGCAAGGTCTCACCCCCTTCTAGCGAATCGGGCTGAGACTCACTGCTCTTGTGCGTGTTAGAGTCTCCACCATTACTATCACCAGATCCCTCCTTCACTCTGCCTTCAACCCCTCCCTGAACCCCTCCTTCAACCCCTCCCCTTTTCCCTTCACCTGGCTTCATTTTTCCCTCTCCCCCTTGCTTCTTTCCTCCTCTTCCCTTCTCCCCTCTTCTCCCTCCACCGGATGACTTCTCCCTCCGATTCTTCTCGTCCTTCTTCTCTTGTCCCCCGGCCTTCGCCCCTTTCGCCTTCGCCCCTTTCACCTTCGCCCCTTTCGCCTTCCCCCTTTTCGCCTTCCCCCCCTTCGCCTTCCCCCTTTTCGCCTTCCCCCCCTTCGCCTTCCCCCCATTTGCCTTCCCTTCTGCCTCTCCTCCCTTCGCCTGGCCCACCATCTTCTGCCCTTTCCACGTGTTCTCCTTGGACGCGTTAACCACCTGCCCTCCTCCATTCTTCCCCATTCCTTCACCCGCCTTTCCAACCGCCGCTACAGTTCCCCTTCGCTCCGTCACCTTATCACCCCTTGTCTCACCCTTTCCCCCTTCTTTCTTCATCCCACTGCCCGCCTGGCTTCCTGTCGCTCCTCTTTTCCGCGCACCAGTTTTATCACCTCCCACTTTCGTCCCATCATTCCCTTTGCTTTTCCCACCGCCCCACTTATTTCCCCCACCCTTCCCCTTATCCCCCCAACCCTTCCCCTTATCCCCCCGCCCTTCCCTTTATTCCCCCCACTATTTCCCTGATCTCCCCCCGTCTTCTCCTTATTTTCCCCACCATTCCACTTATTCCCCCCACCCCTCCCCTTATTCCCCCCACCCCTCCCCTTATTCCCCCCACCCCTCCCCTTATTCCCCCCACCCTTCCCCTTTATTTCCCCACTCTTCCCCCCATTTCCACCACCAGCTCCCCCCTTTGCCACCATCCCTAGCCCTCCCTTTCCCCCACCTGCCTCCTCCTTATCTCCTCCCCCCCCTCCCACTGTCCCCTCATCCATCACTCCCTTAACTCCTGCTCCACCTGAAGGCGCTTCCACGGGTGCCATGCTTTCAGCAGCTTCACCTTCAACATTCACCTTGTTTTGAGAAGTCTGTGGATGGACCCTGGGCTCCAGCCACCGCCGCTGCAGCCCCACCCACCCCCCTCCCGTGTGTATCACCAGCACATGCGGCTGTGCTGCCACTACATACGCCGCCCATGCATCCAACCGCACCACTCTCACCATTCCCAACCCCTCTGAGCCTGACTGCAGAGAGCTGGACCTGCCCGAACCTGGTTTTACCGCATCCGACCCATCGGAACCTGGCTCCTGGCTGGTTCCAGAAATACTCGTGGAAAGACTACTGCCGTTGCCTATGCTGCCGCTGCCTATGCTGGCGTTGCTACCAGACTTAGTGACAATGCTCCTGGTGTCCGTACTGCTGTCATTGGCGCTCTTGGACTGAAACTCTGATATTAATGAATCAGGTATATCTGGATCAGGCGTGTGTGAAGGGGCGGCTTCAAGGACGGTCAGGAAGTCAGAATGGAAGAAATCAAGGCTCGTGTTGGCATGGGGGAACGTGTACTGGAAGATCAAAGGTGCGGGGGAGGGGAACTTAGAGTCTGCGAGGGAGGAAGAGGGCGAGGAGGAGGAGGAGGAAGAGGGAGGAGTGGAAGAAGTGGTAGAGGAGGAGGGGGAAGCGGAGGAGTGGGGAGACGATAAAGGTAAGGAGGAGGAAGAGGAGGAGAGATGGGAAGAAGGCGACGAAGGAGGATGCAGGAGGGAGGGGAAGGTGCGGTTGAGGCGCTCTGTTGGCAGGCTGTGATTGGGTGGGAGCGAGGGGCCCACGGAGAGAAGGCAGAGGAGCGACTGGAACATCTGCAGCAGGGCAGGAGGGAGAGGGGCGAGAGAGGGGAGAAAGAAAGGGCAAGGGAAAGAAGAGAAGACGCTGTGATTGGTTGCAAGAGAGGCGCCCACAGGGAAAAGGCAGAGGAGAGACTGCGGGCCCCTCTGGAGAAGGCAGAGAAGGCAGAGAAGGCAGAGAAGGCAGAGAAGGCACATCTGCGGGCATAAAGGAGAGGGGCGAGAGAGGAGATGTTGTGGATGCGGAAGAGAGGTGACGAGAGAGACACAGACCACTGGTTGCTGGAACATCTGAAACTGGAACATCTGAAACTGGAACATCTGAAGACCCGATGACGAGAGAGACACGGACCACTAGAGAAGGGGGATTGGGGGGAGAGGGGGGTGGATGGGGGAGAGAGAGACAGAACAAGAACAGGAAGGAACGTACCGACAGAAGTATAGAGTCTCCCACGAACACGATCCGACGGTTCTGGAAGGCCTCAAAGAACCGATCTGCTCGGAAACGGATGAATGGCTGGGTGCACTCGCTCTCCCGCCATGCGAAGTGGAGGTAGTCAAAGTCCGTCCGGCCATTCTCCTGCAGAGTGGGGAGGGGTCAAAAGAGGGAGGCGGGTGGGGGGAGGTAAGCGGGTGAACGGCTGGGTGCACTCGCTCTCCCGCCATGCGAAGTGGAGATAGTCGAAGTCCGTCCGGCCATTCTCCTGAGGCGTGGGAAAACCAAGGGAGGAGGGGGAAGGGGGGCAGTGAGCGGGTTAACGTCTGGATGCACTCACTGGTCCTTCGGCCATTCTCCTGAGGTATGGGAAGTGGAGCAGGGAAGAGGAATGAAGGACCACGGGAGGGGAAGGGAAGGGGGGAAGAGGGCGCGGGGGCAAATGGCTGGGTGCACTCGCTCTCCTGCCATGTGAAGTGGAGGTAGTCAAAGTATATATGCTATTCTCCTGCGATGGGGGGTGGTTGGGGGGCGGGGGGATGGAAGGGTGTGGAAGGGCAGAAACAAGAAAGAAGCATTACCACATAAGCTCCCCCCCTTACCAGGCAATTGAATGTTCTACTAATGAAGGGACAGTCTTCTGCCGCATATAACGGATATCCCTCCCTCTCCATCTGCCAATCCCCTCTCCCCAGCTCACACACCCCCTCCCCCCTCCTCGCCTTCCACACCTCCCCCTTCCTCACCCCCCACCCACTCTCGCCTCCTCCCACTCCTCCCACTCCCCCTTTCCCTCCACCTCCTCCCTTCTCTCCTCCGATTCCGCCTAGGCCTCTCGTAGCAGATGCTGAATCTACCGAGGTGTGATTAAAAAGGAGGGCGCGGAAATGTGGGTGGGAGCCACTGGTGATATGCAGCATGACCCATGGCATTATAACGAAGGAGAAGAACACTACAGCACAGGCACTCCACGCAGCAGCCACCAGCACCAGCACTCGGAGCACCACTATTGCCGCCTGGGGTAACCCTTCCTGCAGCCTGGCCAGCCAGTGCCTGCGTGCTTGTAACGCAGCCACTGCTGCAGCAGCGCCTGCGGATGTGACTGTACCGAATGGGTTTTTGCCAGGCGCTGCCTGCATGCTGGTGATAGGGTTTCCACCGCTCCCTGCAGCCCATCCTGGAGGGGATTTCGCAGCTGAAAGAGTACTGTAGCCGTCTGGGCCTAACTCCGAGATTATACCGAGGTCTGAGCTTATACCGAGTTCTGATCTTGTAGCGAAGTATCCTGGCCGTCGGATCGCCGGGGCTGGAGCGACGGCGGTGCTGGTTCCCTGCGGCGCGATGTGAGGCTGTGGGATTTCGTGCGCGGGAGAATGGTCCAACTCGGCCCTAGATAATGCCGATACTTCTAACGATTCTGATGCTGCTGTGGATGCCACTTTGCATGATTCTGGCGCGGAGGGGATTGTAGAGATCGAGCCAGCAGACGATCCTGCTTCTTTCGCAGAAAATTCTGCCGTAGAATTGATGGTAGGTTGCGTTGGTAATAATGCGGCATCTGCTGACGAATCTGGTCTCCCCCCCTGAGGGAAGGTTCTCAACAAATCCGCCATAACTCCTCCCCCCTTTCAACGCTGGTGCGTACAGTTATACGACTCGTCGGCGTTGCACCACATGTCGTTGCTCGCGCGGCCAATGCCTAAAAATGGCTGATCTTCTACCATCACAATGGGAAGGCATTTCTCGCGTGGTTCCAGCCAAGAGAGTGAAGGGACAGACAGCGAACGCTGGATCTTCAGACTTCTAGCTAGTGCTCAATACGAAACTAGCATGTGATAAGCGTTCACTTTATCACGATTGAGTAAGGTGCGTGAGTTTTGAAAGAGGTTAGCTAAGAACCTTAAGCGGTCGGGTAGGGTTTCAAGGGGAAAAAACGAAAACTTATGACGCCCCCGTCTTATGACAAGCACGTCTTGGTCTTTCCAACCGAGGGCGCACTTCCAACGCGGGAAGCTGCGATTGTCTTGCAAAAGAGATTTGAACTTTGAAAGTAAAAGTAACATTTTGAACACGAAACTACCGGACCAGACCAGACCCCAATTTCGGCATTTCTCGTTTTTTCGCAGACCCGATGCCAGTAAGGACTCCTGAAATTGAGCCCAGCTATTCCGAGCGCGTCCTCAAGCCCAACGGTCATCACCATCAACAGGCTAATTTGGTGATTGGTAGTTCCACTAGTCACAGCCGTTGTCGCTGGTGTTCAGTTCAGGATCTCGCTTAGATCTTTAATAGATCGCGGTTCGTGCAGCTCAATTTCCCGCCGAGCTATTTCAGCTCAGCTATCTCCCTGGGTGTTCACCCGTTTTTTCTGTGCGTGAAGCGACTTCAAATTCCTTTTCTAGCAATTTAAGTTGACCAATGGCGACGGCAACCGAGAAGCTTTTGGAGGAGATTAGGGACGTAGGGACGAGACTAGCCGTTCGATTTGACGATGCGAAGAGGGAGTTGGAGGAGAGCCAGCGACATAAGAGCGGAAAGGACGATAGTTTGGACAAACAAGAAGCACTGGTGATGACCCTCTGTCAAAAAGTGGAAAACCTGGAGAAAGAGTTGGAAGAAGCGAGGGAGGCGAGTAGCAGCAGCATACTTGAGCTTAAGAATGAGTTAGGACGCGAGAAGTCTGCTAGGGAGGAGAAAGAGAAGGAGATGGTTGCGAGACTGGAGCAAGCAGAGAAAGCCCTGGTAGAGCAAAAAGAGGAAATTCGGAAGACTTGGGAGGTGAGAAATCGTCTTCCGGCTCCGGTGTCATCATATGTGTGTAAGAAAAACCTTCATCAATTGCCGTTATGCTCCACGCGACACTCTGCGCGTTGTCATGTTTTCAGGCAATCCCAGATGCTGTGAGTCGGCATCCAACAAGTGAGGATATGAAAATCGTCAAGGCCCAGTCTGAAACAACCACAATGGAAGTGGTCTGTTCTGTAGCAACTAAATTCGGGTTCATGCGCCTCGCATCCATGACCCGCGTGAAAAGCGTCACCCTACATGGACCAGCAGATGGTGCTGCGATCGCGCTCCTCAGCTTGATGCCATCGCTAGAAGAGCTGAAAGTGCACTTGATTGCAGAACACTTGCTGCCCGAAATTGGTAAACTATCGGCTCTCCGGCGTCTCGAGTTGCATCAGACCCAAGGCGCAACGAATTGGCTTGAACATCTCACAGGGATGTCCTCTCTACAGAGCCTTGTTCTCTCTCAGCATCGGGATCATATCCTTAACAGCATGGTGCATGTGGCAAAAATTCCAAGACTTGAGCACTTAGACATTTCTGCAATTCGGGTGTGGGATGACGACTTAGTGCCGCTCACCTCCTTGACAAGATTGACATGGCTCAGTCTGCCAAGGTTTATTGGGGACCGTGGACTGCAGTACCTACAGAACTTCAAGGCTTTGAAGACCCTTCTATTGAGATCTCCGATAACTGATTATAGTGTGGAGTGTCTAAAGGCACTTTCCTGGATTGAAAAGGTTGGACTTAACGATAGCCAGACAATAGCGACTATGCGAAGGGCTTTTCCAGACCTGGAATTGTTTATTATATGATAGAAACAAAATCTCTCAATGTTTGTCCACTTCGTTTCTGTACATCGGGGTATCGAGAGCATCAACTTCTGGTGCCTGTGGGATCCAAGTCTTAAACGTTTGAGCTGACAGTAAGCAGTGTGCAAGTTTGTTTCTAGCTTGGTTGCGAGCTACATAGCCGTGAAACTGAAACAGCCTCCTACACTACGCCACAGCACCGCCCTTCTCCATTCAGTTTTCTCTTCTCAGCATGGTCCTCCAGTGGTCTATTGTTGTGACTCCAGTATTCCCCCCCCCTTCACCTGCCATCTCCCCTCCCATTCCCCGTTCCCACTCTCACCCATTCAACTGTCGAACATATATTGTATGTTTCTGTAGACTATATAGGGTTGTGCCTTAGGGAGTACAACCCACTAGGTTATGTTCCCTTGTATACCTTGTTCTAGTTATTCTTTCACTTGAACATGGTATCATGAGTAGGTAGTGTCAACTTACACATATGATATGACATATGTAGAAGTTATAGGCTAGACTAGGGTGTGTGCTTCTAGTGAGTACAACCCAACAGGTATATGTTCTAGGTTTCTCTTCTTAGTAAGACATTCTCGTACGCTAACATGGTATCACGCTTAGGTTAGGTCCCCCCGCCCACCCGCTTCCGCCCGCGCCCTAGCCTACGCGCCCTAGCTCACTCCCCCCCCCCTCCTTAGCGCCTGGCCCCTTAGCGCCCACTAGGCCCCCGCCGCGCCTGCTAGGCCCCCGTCGAGCCCGCTAGACCCCGTCGCGCCCGCCGGGCCCCTTCGCGTCCGCTAGGCCCCCGTCGCGCCTGCTCAACCCTGTCGCGCCCGCTGGGCCCCGTCGCGCCCGCTAGGCCCCCGTCGCGCCCGCTAGGCCGTGTCGCGCCCGCTGGGCCCCTCTCGCGCCCGCTCGGCCCTGTTGCGCCCTCTGGGCCCCTTCGCGCCCGCTAGGCCCCCGTCGCGCCCGCTCGGCCCCGTCGCGCCAGCTGGGCCCCGTCGCGCTCGCTAGGCCCCCGTCGCGCCCGCTAGGCCCCGTCGCGCCCGCTGGGCCCCGTCGCGCCCGCTGGGCCCTGTCGCGTCTGCTGGGCCCCGTCGCGCCCGCTAGGCCCCGTCGCGCACGCCCGGCCCCTCCCAGCGCACGCCCGCCCGGCCCCCATCACGCCCTCTCACGGCCGCCCGGCCCCTGTCGCGCCCGCCATTAGCTCCCGCCTGGCCCCTCCTAGCGCCCGCCCGGCCCCAGTGCGCCCGCCCGGCATCCTAGCGCCCGCCCAGCCTTTGGCGCCCGCCCGGCCTGTCGCGCCTGCCCGCCTCCTAGCGCCCGCCCGGCCCCTCCCACTGCCCGCCCGGCCCGTCCTCGTGCCTACTCGGCCTGCCGTGTCATCTCGGGCCCTGTGTCTTCTGCTCGCCCGCGTTGGGGTGCCTCGCAGCTGCCCTACTGGAGAGTGCTGCCGCTGTGTCCCCGTGCCGCTGTGCTCCTGCGGAGCTGTGAAGTTGTGCCGCTGTGTCGCTGAGGAGCTGTATCGCTGACCCTGCACGATGGCTGACTTCGTGCTCCGACTGGTCGTTGAGGGCCACGCGGTTGACTTCGCCGCCTGGCTCTCCGATCTCCGCTGTCAGCTTACAGGTCAGCGTCAGGATGGCCACTCCTTGGTTGTCCATGGTGATGGCTTGCTCCCCCGCCCCCCTGCACCTGCTCCCCTCTCTGCTGACCCCACCCCTACTGAGCGTCAGGCTTTCTCTATTGCTGCGCTTGCCTGTGCGGTCTGGGACTCTCGCGATGCAGTAGCTCAGGTTGCTATCAGTCCTCGTTCCCCTCCTGTGTCCCCTCCGCTGTCTCCTGACCCTACACCTCCGTCCCACGTTTGGTCTCGCCGTCCCCCCCATGCCCGTCCCGTCTCTCCTGTCCTGCGCTCCCACCCTATGTTGCTCCGTTCCCACTCATCTCGTCCTCCCCTCCTCCCGTCACCTCCTCCCTCGTCGCTTGTTGTTGCACCTCCTCCGTTCTCTGACTACCTCCATGCCGCTCGTCCCCTTGTCCCTTTGGTTCTTGCCTCTCTTGTTACCGACCCTTCTGTTCTTGTCTCGCGCCTTGACGCGCTTGTCGCTGCTGTCGCTGACTTCGCCTCTACCCGCCGCCTTGACTACGCTACCACTCTGGTCTCTCACCCTGCCCGTCCTCCGTCCGTCGGGGGTGCTCCTGCCCTTGGCAGTGACGTCCTAGAGGACACGCAGTACGAGCTTGCTTTCCTTTCCGAGGCTGCTCCCCACCTCTGCTCCATGCTGTTAGTCCCTGAGGGTGACCCAGCCGCCTTCGACATCCCGACCCCTCGCACCTACGCTGAGGCCACCTCGAGACCTTGGGCCTCTCACTGGATAGCTGCCATGGAGCAGGAGATGGCATCTTGGAGGTCCACCGGCACTTACATCGACGCAGTTCCCCCGCCTGGGGTGAACGTAGTCGATGGTCGGTGGCTCTTCAAGGTGAAGCGCCCCCCTGGAGAGCCGCCTGTCTTCAAGGCGCGCTACGTGGCCAGAGACTTCAGGCAGCGTGAGGGGGTTGACTTCTTCCAGACCTTCGCCCTGACCCCGAAGATGACCACTCTTCGGGTGCTGCTACACGTAGCAGCACAGCGCGACTACGAGCTTTACTCCCTCGACTTCTCTACTGCCTTTCTTCAGGGCAGCCTACACGAGCAGGTCTACCTGCGCCGACCACAGGGCTTCACTAGTACCTTCCCCCCTGGGACCCAGTGGCTTCTCAGGCGCCCCGTCTACGACCTGCGTCAGGCTCCTCGCGAGTGGCACAACACGCTGCGTGCCACGTTAGCGGACCTCTAGTTCTTTCCGTCCTCTGCTGACCCCTCACTGTTTGTGCGTTCCGGCCAGACTCCGTTCTACATCCTTGTCTACGTAGACGACCTGGTTTTCACTACTTCTGACAGGGACGCACTGGCCCCTGTGAAGGCCGCGCTGCTGAAGAGACACACCTGCACTGACCTTGGAGAGCTGCGTCGCTATCTTGGCCTGCAGATCTCCAGGGACAGAGCAGCACGCACCATCACCCTGACACAGTCACACTTGGTGCGTCAGGTCCTTCATAGGTTCGGTCTTCAATTCTCCTCCGCACAGCCCACACCTCTACTTGTAGACCATGGGCTGTCTGCTCCAGTTCCTGAGGAGCCAGTAGAGCCCAGTGGCCCCTACGCAGAGCTGGTGGGTTGCCTCATGTACCTGATGACTTGCACTCGCCCAGATCTCGCATACTCTCTCAGCATCCTAGCTCGCTTTGTGGCTACAGGCAGACATCGACCTCAGCACTGGTTTGCCGCTAAGAGGGTTTTGCGTTATCTTGCAAGTACATCGGGCATGGGGTTAGTGCTAGGAGGACGCAGGCCAGTGGTCCTCACTGGGCACACAGACGCTTCTTGGGCAGACGACTCTGAGACTCTTAGGTTGTCTCAGGGCTACTGTTTTAGCCTTGGTTCGGGTGCTATCTCCTGGAGATCCAGTCGCTCGTCGTCTGTTGCTCAGTCCAGCTGTGAGGCTGAGATCTACGCCGGTGCCATGGCGGCACAGGAGCTCCGCTGGCTTACCTTCTTGCTCACAGACTTAGGTGAGCGGCCTAGCTCTGCCCCGGTCTTGTACGCTGACAACAGGGCCATGATTCTCCTGTGTCTGGAGCCTTGGCTTGAGGGCAGAGCGAAGCATATCCAGCTGCGGTACTTCCTCCTGCGCGAGCTACAGCAGCGTCGCCAGACCTGCGTAGTTCACTTGGTCTCCGGTGCCAACACAGCTGATATCTTTACTAAGGCGCTTGTGCCTAAAGATCATCATCGGCACTGTGTCCAGCTTGGTCTTGTTCCTGTAGCTTCTCACTTGTTAGGACCCTGATTGTGTACTCTCTACTATTTATATCTGTCTGACTGGCCTTGTGGCCGTACCTCCAGTGGTTGGACTAGTAGTGCCGCCTTAGCTTGCTTCATTCTTGTTTGTACTCTTGCTGACTGGTCTCCGGACCCCTGCCTCAGTGGTTGGACTAGTAGTGCCACCCTGAGCTGTGTGCTTCTTGCTTAGTTCCACCCCTTATCTAGCCTAGGGGGTGTGTCAACTTACACATATGATCTATGTAGAAGTTATAGGCTAGACTAGGGTGTGTGCTTCTAGTGAGTACAACCCAACAGGTATATGTTCTAGGTTTCTCTTCTTAGTAAGACATTCTCATACGCTAACAGGTAGGTCTCCCCCCCCGGCCCCGTCACCTAGCGGCCCTGCGGCCCAAACCCCTAGCGGCCCCGCGGCCCCGTCCCCTAGCGGCCCCGCGGCCCCGTCACCTTGCGGCTTCGCGGCCCCGTCACCTAGCGGCCCCGCGGCCCCCTCCCCTAGCGGCCCCGCGGCCCCGCGGCCGCGTCCCCTAGCGGCCCCGCGGCCCCGTCACCTCGCGGCCCCGCGACCCCGTCACCTCGCGGGCCCGCGGCCCCGTCACCTAGAGGCCTCGTCGCCCAGCCGGCCCTGTCTCCTTGCCAGCGCCGCCTCTTTGCCGGCCCCGTCACCTTGCCGCCCGCGGCCCCGACTTCTAGACGCCTCGCTGCTGTCCTCGGCTCCTTTGTACCGCGCTGCACCGCCCGGCACCACTCTGCGCCGCATTGCGCCGCTCTGCACCGCCCTGCACCACAATGCATCGCAATGCACTATACCCTACCGTACTGCACCTCCCTCCACCGCACAGTACCGCACTGCACCACACATCACCGCTTTCCGCCGCGCTCTCCTGCCCAGTACTGTCTTTCTCAAGCTACTGCAACCATGATGGCGGACTCGGTCCTGCGTTTTGATGCTGAGGGGGGGTCGATTGAGTTCGACTCGTGGCTCGTCGACCTCCAGTGACACCTGACTGGTCAGTGGCAGGACGGCCACTCCCTGGCCGTCCACATCGACGGTACGCTCCCCTGCCCGGACCCCCCTGCTGCCCTCCCCGTTGACCCCACCTCTGCTGACCGTGAGTCCGCTGCCGCTGCTGCCCTTGCCCGTGCTGTCTGATTGTCGCGTGATGCTGTCGCACAGCTTGCGATTAGTCATGCCCTTCCCATGTCCGAGCGTCCTCGCTTTAGGTCCGTCAGGACTGCGTAAGAGTTCCTAGAAGCTGTTGTTGCGTGCTATTCCACCCCGCCCTTTGCCTCTGTAGGTCGCCTGATCCTGCCCATGCTCTTTCCTGACCTCGCGTCTTTCCCCACTGTCGCTGACCTAGCCGCCCACCTGCGCACGCTAGACACGACCTGGCGTGCTGCCTGTACAGAGGCTCAGCTTCGTGTGTTTCAACCCCCCATCTGCTCTACCCTCTACCTGCTTGCCACCCACCTCCCTGACCGCCTTGCCACCGCCCGCGATCACTTCCTTAGTCTCCACCCCACAGACCTCACCCTTACTGACTTTGTCGACACACTGTCTGCAATAGAGACCCGTCAGCGCTCTATCGCCCAGTCTAGCGGTACCGTGCCAGTCTTTATCTTTCAGGGCTGTGCCCCTGCTCAGTGCTCTTACTCTGACGGTTCAGCTGCGGTTGTTGAAACAGCTCCAGCTGTGGAGACAGCCGGCGCAATGCAGTTTGGTCTGGGTAAGAGTCGCCGCCCCAAGGCTGGGCGCGGCAGAGGTAGCGGAGGAGGGGGTGGTGACGGTGGTGGAGGTGGCTCGCCCGCTGGTAGTACTGATGAGGGGGCTGGGGCTGGTGCCCCGGAACAGCAGCCCCAGCAGCAGCAGCAGGCTCCGCAGCTAGATCATGAGCAGCAGCAGCAGCAGCAGCAGCAGCAGGCGCAGTAGCAGTGGAGGGCCGGCCGTCTCCCGCCCGGGTGGTATGGAGCTGGAGGCGACGGTGGTCGCAGTGGTCGCTCGCACAGCGTGTTGTCGGGTGGTTGTCAGAGTGACAGGCGCTGCGAGTACCAGCTCCATACCGGTCCTCGCCGCGGCCTCGTGTGCGGTAAGATCGGTCACACCCCCGCTAGTTGCTTTCGTCGCCTAGATGACCTGTTTCATCTCCGCTTCGGCCTATCGCCTGACCTCCCTGACTGGCACTGTCTGCTCCGTTGTCGTTGTTCGATCTTTGATATGGACATGGATGAGATAAGCTCTGCTTTGTATGCGCTGCATGTTGATAACTCTAGTGTGAGTGGTTCCTATTACCCTGTATTGCCTAGCGTAGGTGTGCCTTGTGTGCCTAGTTCAGGCTCCCCTGCTGCGTCAGGTGTAGGATCCCCTGCCTTGTTTAGCCTAGGATCCTCCCTTGCTCCTCCGACCTCTGTCGCCGCTGCCGCGCTCTCCTTCACTCTGGACTCCGGCACTTCCCGGTATTTCTTTCACGACTCCACGACGCTTAAGTCACTTGCCCACTCCTGCTGCAGTTGCTCTTGCAAATCCTTCCTCCGGTCCTGTAGTTGCCCGTAGCTCCACTACTCTCCCCTGTCTGGCGGTTCCCTCAGGCTCCCTTACAGGCCTGCACATCCCCTCGTTCTCTAGGAACCTAGTTGGTGTTGGCTGCCTCCAGGACCTTGGTGTCACCACTACATTCCCTGCGCATGAGCGGTACGCTGTCTGTACTGAGGCCGCCACTGGTGCCCCCCTCACCACGTTCCCCCGGGACACAGTGTCTGGCCTGTTCATGCTGGACACCGCTTCCCCCCAGGTTGGGATGCCTCCCCAGGTACCTGCGTCTTCCCAGGTTGCTGCTGTGTGCTTGTGTCAATCGCTTACTCACCCGTCACTTCTGTGGCACCACCGTCTAGGTCACCCCGCCCTCACCTGTCTCCGTCACATGTCCCAGCACCGTCTTGTCCTAGGCCTCTCTGAGTCGTTCCCTGTGCTCCCCTCCTCACCCGCGCCTCCGTGCACGCCACTCCTCCTCGTTTCCCCCTACCTGCGCACCGCTGCAGACCCTGCACATGGACGTCTGGGGCCCCGCTCCCGTCCATGGGCCGCGTCGCGAGCGCTACGTCCTAGTGCATGTTGACGACTTCACCCGCTAAACCACCGTCTTTCCCTTGGAGCGGAAGGCCGACATGCCTGACGTTAGTCTCCCATGGCTTGTCTCTGCACGTGTTCACTGAGGTCTCCCTGTCTTGCGTCTTCACTCCGATTGTGGTGACGATTTTGCCTCTGGCTGCCTTGGTCGCTACTGTCGTGCGGAGGGCATCATGCAGACGTTCACCCCGCCGGACTCCCCGCAGCAGAATGGGGTCGCTGAGCCACGCATCGGTTTGGTTATGGAGATGGCTCGTACCTCCATGATCCATGCTAGTGCACCCCATTTTCTATGGCTGTTCGTCGTTCGCTACGCCGCTCACCAGCTTAACCTCTGGCCGCACCCTCAGCGGTCGCAGGTTTCGCCGACCCTCCTCTGGACTAGGTCCCCTGGTGACGAGTCTGCGTTCCACGTCTGGGGCTGCCTTGCACACGTTCGTGCCTCTGGCACGGACAAGCTCACTGCTCGCACTGTCCCTTGTGTCTTCCTAGGTTTCCCCCCTCGACTCGTCGGACTGGCAGTTCTACCACCCGCCTGATGGAAATCGTGCAAATCTGGAGAGAACTAATTAGAGATTAAGTTTGACGATCTCAACAGAACATTGCGTGCAGCTCACGTAACTTCTAGAAATGAGCTTATACGCGTTGGAAAGGTCTTAATCTCTACTTTCCAGAATGGTAAAGCACGTTCATAACCAAGATCTGAGCCGCCAATTATGACGAAATCAGTGTGAGGGGATATTCTGGTAATTTGGCTAGGCAGCCATGAATCACCTAGTAAAAACGAGAAGGGAAGCAGTTCGATCTGGAAAAGTTCCAGTATGTGATTGTCAAGCACCACCAACCCTTGCCCTAGACCAAACCCCAACACTCTCAAGTGCCGCGACTGCAACATCAAAGATGTTGTAGTGGGTTTGAGGTTGTATGTGTTGGTAAGGTAACGAGTTCAAACCTTGCCAACCAGCCCAAGTCCTTTTGCCCAAAACCCAATAGCCCACAACCAGCTAGAGCAAACTACACCACAGAATAATACACATTTATCACTCCCCCTTGCTCGTGCTGGGTGTGGCTCAACACCATAGGGCAAAAGACTTCACACCACTCCCCCTTGCCCATGGGTTGGGGCCACCCAGAGCATGGAGTCCGCCAAAGAGAGGAGCACCAAGACGCCGGCATCTGCTGCGGGAACCCGGTCATCATGGGGCTGCATCCCGAGCAAGGTCATGCACACACCATGGCGCTCAAATGGAAGAGCCTTGGTAAGGATATCAGCAGCCTGACGGTTGGTGGGGCACCACTGCAAAATCACCTCTCCCGCAGCCACCATCTCCCGAATGAAATGCCACCGGACCTGCATGTGTTTGGTGCGGCCATGCAAGCATGCATTCTGTGCAAGGGCAATGGCAGACTGATTGTCCACAAACACAGGCACACCACCAGTATGAGCATGGCCAAACTCCCCAAACAAACGCCTCAGCCACACATCCTCCTGAATGCACTGACACAGACTTATGTACTCACTCTCAGTGGTAGAGAGTGCCACCACGGGCTGCCTCTTTCTCTGCCAAGAGATAGCTGCCCCATTCAGGCAAAACACATACCCACTGTGGCTCTTGCGACTTGCGGAATCTCCAGCATAGTCGGCATCACTGAAGCCAACCAGCTGGACCTGAGATTGGGGCTGTGTTTGGAAGAAGATACCTGACTTGACACCACCTTTCAGGTACCTCAGCACTCTCTTAGCGGCCTGCAAGTGGAACATTTTAGGACAAGAGGCGACCTTAGATAGCTGTGAAACTGCGAATGCAATCTGCGGCTGTGTGGTAGTACAAGCTTACATGAGGGATCCCACAATGCTTTGGTAGAGCTTGACCAGCTCATCTCGCAGCAAAGGTTCATCCTCATAGGCATGCACATCAAAGCCTGTCGGCAGAGGAGTACGCACGGGGTTGGCCTCTGAAAGACCAAAGGACTGAAGCATGTTAAGAATGTACCTCTCTTGATGAATCAAGATACCACTCTCATCACGTTCAATTTGCATTCCCAAGTAGTACTTCACCTCCCCCAAGTCCTTCATGCGAAAACGTAAGGACAAGAAGTCTTTCACTCGATCTAACAAAACCTTACTAGAGCATAGGAGCAAAAGGTCATCCACATAGAGGAATAAGGAGATCCTTGCCTCATCTCTCACAAAGTGGTACAAGGCAGGGTCACACTCAGATCTCTCAAACCCAAAATCCATGAGAGCCTCATCAAATTTCAGGTACCACTGTCGTGGGGCTTGCTTCAGCCCATAAATGGACCTTTTGAGGCGACACACTCGGTTAGACCCATCATCAAAACCAGGGGGCTGCCGCATGTAAAGCTCTTCTTCCAAATCCCCATGGAGGAAGGCTGTCTTGACGTCCATATGATGGATGTCAAGCTTCAAAGCAGCCGAAATTCCAAGCATACCTCTCAAGGTCGCATGCTTCCCAACTGGAGAGTACACTTCTTCATAGTGTACTCCCAATTTCTGCATGTTTCCCATCACCACCAATCTGGACTTAGGCCTCTCAATGGTACCATCAGGGTTATGTTTGTATTTCCAAACCCATTGACACCTGAGGACCTCCAAACCAGGTGGTACCACTGCTGGATCAACCATCTCAAATGATCCATTTACCTTGTGAGACTCAAGCTCCTCATGCATGGACTCAACCCATTCGGGACGGTTCAGCGCCTCGTGGACTGACCTAGGCTCATGTACCTGACCCATTAGACACACATCAAGAGCACTCATGCCCATGCATGTCCACAAGCATGCAATCATCCAAATCAGACACAAGATGATCATGCATGCGTGCAATGTGCCCCGGGGTAAACCTTTCAGGTGGCTGGGAAATTCGAGCACTGCGTCGCAGAGGTGTTGCCTCTCCTTCTTCCAGCCTCTGCAGCTTCTCCTCCCAAGTCACCCTCTTCATTGGAGTCCTTGGAGTCTTGGACAGCTGCTGGTTCAACAACTGCTGCCAACTGCTTCTCGATGGAGTTGAAGGCACATGCTGCTCTGGCTGATCATCATGCGCATCGGCCTGCGTGGCTGGCTGAGGGGTAGAATCTGTCTCTCGGGACTCCTCATGGTTAGAATCAGCTGGTTCTGGCTCCTCCTGCTGCTCCTCCCCTTCATCTCCAGGGTCCTCCCATGCCCCCTCAAAGATAGAGGCCGTATGAGGGTCTTGATTGGAAGTCCCACTATGGCTTGCACCACGCTCCTTCCACCCCTTATAATTCAGCCCCTCATGGAAAATCACATCACGGCTCTCCATCACACGCTGGTCAGCTACACTCTATAGCACCCAAGCCTTGCTCCTCTCAGAAACCCCAAGGAAGATCCCCCACTGTGCCTTAGGATCTAGCTTCCTCCTTTGCTGGTCAGGTACCTTATACTGTGCCATGCACCCCCACACTCGTGCCATGGAAACATTCGGCACCTTCCCTGTCCATAAGGAGTATGGGCTCTTGCCTCCAAGCCCCTTGCTGCCCATCCTGTTCTTCACCCAGTTGGCATACTGCACTGCTGCCCCCCACCAAGTGTTATCAAGCTCGGCATGGGCAAGAATGGCCCAAGCCAAATCGGTCAAAGTCCTGTTAAGCCGCTCTGCTGCCCCATTTTGCTGCGGCGTGTAAGGTACTGAGAGCTGGTGGGAAATACATGCGTCACCGCCGCTAGGGTTCGTGCATTCTAGGGGTGTTGGGGAGCGGGCTGGAGCTGGTTCTGGAGCGGGCTCTGGGGGAGCTGGCGTGGGGCTTCTCGGAGGGAGCCATATTGTCACTGGAGGTTCTGGTGTTGGAGTCGGGTCGCAGTCGCAGCGGTCTCCGCCGGTGTCCGCTCTTGCCTCCTCGGTCTCCCTTCCCCTGACTGCCCGTCGCTGTGTCCCCCGCTGCAGCTGCCTCCTCCTCTGCCGGTCCACGGCCCCGTGTTTCCTCCCCTGGACTCCTCTCCGGCTCGTTTTCCTCCCCGTTCTCCTCCTATGTCTCCTCCCCTCTCTCCTGACCCGACTCCTCCGTCTCACATCTTGTCTCGTCCTCCATCTCGTGCTCGTCCTAACTCCCCTGTTCCGCGTTCTCACTCTATGTTGCTGCGCTCTCATGCGTCTCGTGCTCCTCCTCTCCTCCCGTCTCCTCCTCCGTCCTCGCTTGCTGTGGCCCCGCCTCTGTTCTCGGACTTCCTTCGTGCTGCGCGTCCCCTTTCTCTCGTGTCCTTGCCTCTCTTGTTATCGACGCGTCCATTCCTGTCTGGAGTCTGTCGGCTCTTGTCGCTGCTGTCACTGACTTCGCCGCTACCCGCCGCCTGGACTACGCCACCGCTCTGGTCTCTGACCCTGACCGTCCTCCGTCCGTCGGGGGTGTGGCTGCTCTTGTTAGTGACGTCCTAGAGTACAGGCAGCTCGAGCTTGCTTTCCTGTCTAAGGCCACTCCCCATCTCTGTTCCATGCTACTAGTCCCTGAGGGTGACCCAGACGCCCTCAACATCCCGACCCCTCGCACCTACGCTGAGGCCACCTCGGGACCCTAAGCCTCTCAGTGGATAGCTGCCATAGAGCAGGAGTTGGCATCTTGGAGATCTCCCAGTACCTTCAACGACGCAGTTCCCCCACCTGGGGTGAACGTAATCGATGGCCGGTGGCTCTTCAAGGTGAAGTGCCCTCCTGGAGAGCCGCTTGTCCTCAAGGCGCGCTACATCGCTCGAGGCTTCAGTCAGCGTGAGGGGGTGGACTTCTTTTAGACCTTTGCCCCAACCCCGAAGATGACCACTCTTTGAGCGCTACTACACGTAGCAGCACAGTGTAACTACGAGCTACACTCCCTCGACTCCTCCACAGCTTCCCTCCACGGCAGTTTACACGAGTAGGTCTACCTGCGCCGCCCCCTGGGCTTCTCTGGTATCTTCCCCCCAGGCACCGAGTGGCTCCTCCGGCGCCCCGTCTACGGCTTGCGATAGGCGCCCCGTGAGTGTCACGACACACTGCGTGCTACACTTGCTGACTTGCAGTTCTTCCCTTCGTCTGCAGACCCCTCGCTCTTTGTCCGTTCCGGCCAGACTCCGTTCAACATCCTTGTCTACGTAGATGATCTAGTCTTTGCTACTGCAGACAAAGATGCACTGGCCGCCGTGAAGGGCGAGCTGCTGAGGAGACACACCTGCACTAACCTAGGAGAGCTGCCCCGCTACCTTAGCTTGCAGATCTACAGAGACAGAGCAGCGCGCACCATCACTCTCTCATAGTCACACTTGGTGCGCCATGTCCTTCAGAGGTTTGGCCTTCAGTTCTCTTCCGCACAGCCCACCCCTCTGTCAGTAGACCACAGACTCTCTGCCCCAGTCCCTGAGGAGGCTGTAGAGCCTAGTGGTCCCTACGCAGAGCTGGTGGGTTGCCTCATGTACCTGATGACTTGCACTCGTCCAGATCTCGCATACCCTCTCAGCATCCTGGCTCGCTTTGTGGCCCTAGGCTGACATCGACCACATCACTAGTCGGCCGCTAGGAGGGTTTTGCGTTATCTAGCAAGTACATCGGGCATGGGGCTAGTGCTGGGAGGACGGAGACCAGTGGTCCTTACCAGGCACACAGACGCTTCTTGGGCAGACGACGCCGAGAATCTCAGGTCCTCACAGGGCTACTCCTTTAGCCTTGGTGCAGGTGCCATCTCGTGGAGGTCCACCCGTTCCTCGTCTGTTGCCCAGTCTAGCTGTGAGGCTGAGATCTACGCAGGTGCCATGGCGGTATAGGAGCTTCGCTTGCTGTTCTTCTTGCTCACTGACTTGGGTGAGTGGCCTAGCTCTGCCCCGGTTCTGTACGCTGACAATAGGGCCATGATCCTCCTGTGTTAGAAGCCACGACTTGAGGGCAGAGCGAAGCACATCCAGTTGCGGTACTTCCTCTTGCGCGAGCTGCAGCAGCGTCGCCAGGCTCGTGTAGTACACTTGGCCTCGTTGCTGTTGAGTATGGGGGTGCTAGGGGGTGTGTGGCTTAGTGTGCTGTGTGTGTGGTGGGCTTTCAGCTACCAAGCCTAGGGGGTGTGTTATATTATATATTTGATAGATATATAATGGTAGGCTTGGTAGGTGTTACTGGATCCTACTGTAGATGGTACAACCCCCCCTTCTTGTATCCCTCTCTCTTGTTTTCAATCTCTCTTCTCTCTCGATATTTTCCTAGCACCTAAAACCACTCGCCATTCATGGCGCCTCTTCCTAGCTAGCTATTCTAACACCTGCTAGCCTACATATAATTTCTATATACAATATAGACCAGCTAGGTGCAGAGTGTAGAGGGAACAGCCTCATACTTTAACCCTGTATCTCCTCTCTCTAGTTCCCTTCCTCATTCTCGCTATCTTGATATGGCATCTAGAGCTAGGTTAGGTCCTCACCTACTCACGCTTCCGCCCCTAACTCCTTGGCTCGCGCCGCTCTTGGTCGCCTCTAGCCGCTCCTAGCCGCTCCTAGCCGTCCCTAGCCGCCTCGTCGCTAGGCCGCTCGTGTTGTGGCACTGGGATAGCCTTGTCGATCCTCCTCTATCTCTAGGGAGGGTACTAGGGAGGCTTTCCTTGGGGAAGGTGGATATACGGAGCCTAACCCTCCAGAGGACATCCCTTCTTGTCCCAGTGGTTAGGACTGGCGACTTTATGACATGGTATTAGAGCGATCCAGGGTTCAATTCCTTGTGTACACGCTATCCCAGCGGGGGGGTGTGTCGTGGCATTGGGATAGCCTGTCGATCCTCCTCTATCTCTAGGGAGGGTACTAGGGAGGATTTCCCTGGGGAAGGTGGATATATGGAGCCTAACCCTCATGAGGACTGGCGTTCTTGTCCCAATGGTTATGACTGGCGACTTTATGACAGCGCGCCCATTGCCAGCTTGCAACCCAGCCTCGCGTCAGCCAGCGTCAGCCGCGCCTGCTTGCCCCGCCAGCCGGCGCCAGCTCGCGTCAGTCGTGCCAACCAGTGCCAGCCGCGCCAGCTAGCACCAGCCGTGCTAGCCTACGCCAGCCAGCGCTAGCCAGTGCCTGCTCGCGTCAGCCTCGCCAGCCAGCGCCAGCCGCGTCAGCCAGCGCCAGCCATGCCAGCCTCGCCTGCTCACCTACTAGCCACCAACAGCTTGCCGCCAGCTTGCTGCCAGCAGCTAGTCGCCAGCTCGCCGCCAGCAGCTCGCCGCCAGCTAGCCTCCAGCAGCTCACCGCCAGCAACTAGCCGCCAGCAGCTGTCCGCCAGCAGCTCGCCGCCAGCTAGCCGCCAGCAGATAGCCACCAGCTGGCTGCAAGCGGCTCGCTGCCAGCAACTCGTCGCCAGCAGCGTCGCCGACTGGCCGATTGTCAGCTCCTACGCTCGCCACTCGCCAGGTCGCAACTCGCCATGCCGACATCTCGTCGCCAGCCCACCACTCGCATCTCGCCGCCAGCTCCCCGCTCGTCGTCAACTCCTCGACAACTGCACCTTTCCCCTTGCCGTGTGCTAGCCGACTGCCTGCCGCTCGCCTGCCGACGCTGCCGCCCCTATTATGGCTACTACAGCCATCGCCGCCCCGCCGCTCCAGCCGCCGCTTGATATGTCGCTGCTCCTCCTCGATCTACTGCCACCGCTCCAGCCGCCGCCACTCCTGCCTTTGCAGCCGCTACTGCTGCCACTACCTTTGCACTTGCCGCTGCAGCCGCTGCCACAGCAGCCGCCACTACCACCACAGCCACCGCCACTTGAGCCACCGCTGCCGCAGCTGCCGTTGCAGTCGCTACTGCCGCCACTACCTTTGCACCTGCCTCTGCCGCCGCTGTCACGGCAGCCGCCGCTGCTGCCACTGCCGCTACTTCAGCCGCTGCCGCCGCTGCCCTTGCAGCCGCCGCTACTCCCGCCGCTTCCGCTGCTGCCTCTGCAGCCGCCCGCTGCTGCTACTGCAGCCGCTGCCACGGCTGCCCTTGCAGCCGCCACTGCCACAGCTGTCCTTGCAGGCACTGCTGCTGCCGCTGCCGCTACTCCCCCCGCTACTGCCACAGCTTCCGTTACAGCCGCTGCTGCCGCCACTGCCTTTGCACCTGCCGCTACTGGAGCAGCTGCCCTTGCAGCCACCACTGCCACCACTGCCTCTTCAGCCGTCCGCTGCCGCTAATGCCCCTGCTGCCGCTATTTCCGCCGCTACTGCCGCCACTGCCTTTGCACCTGCCACTTCAGC